CGGATGGACAGACAGAGATAACTACCCAGTCTTTAGAGGATTTGTTGAGAGCTTGTGGGTTGGATCAAGGTGGATCGGGGGATAGTTAGTTACCGTTGGTTAAGGTTACCTACGATAATAGTTACCATTCTAGTATCGGAATGGAACCGTATGAGGCTTTGCATGGTATGAGGTGTATGACTCCTTTGTATTAATATGAGCCAGGTGACAGTGTTGTACTCGGACCTGAGATTGTACAAGAACGACTGAGAAGATCAAGAGGACCCAAGAAAAGATGGATGTTTTGCAGAGTCGTCAGAAGAGTTACCATGATAAGAGGGGGAAAGCACTTGAATTTCAAGAGGAAGATCTCGTGCTTTGAGAGTTACGCCGGTAACAGGTGTTGGTTGAGCTTTAAGGTCTCGGAAGCTCACATCGTGCTTAGTTGGTCTGTATCAGAATAGCGCAGCGGAAGCATGGGGGAAGTACCATGTTAGATTGTTTTATTGTTGCCGCTTGCGAAATTGCATGATGTGTTTCATGTGCCTAAGTTAAAGAAGTACATTAATTCAGATAGATGATGTACAAGTGAGATATGATTTGACTATTGAGGTATTGCTAGTTCGGATTAGTGAACGAGAATCAACTTTGAGGTAAAGAAATTGCCTTAGTAAAGGTGGTTTTGAGAGGACCAACAAGAGAAAGTTGGATTTGGGAGTGTGAAGATCAGATGAGGGAGTCGTATCCGACTTTGTTTACTTGGGGCAATTTTCGAGGGCGAAAATTCTTTTAAGTAGGGGAGAGTTGTAACACCCCAAATTTTAATTGGAATATTTTAATTAATTGATTTAATTGAGAATATTCGATTTCATTGTTTTTCGGTGGCTTTGTGAATTATTGAGGAATTATGCTTTGTGGAGTATTTATTTTGGAATAATAGTATGTAATATGGATTTATTAATATTATTATGAATTAAAATAAATATAAGAGGAATAAGGGTAATTTGGGCATTTGGAGGAGTTAGTAAGGGTAATGAGGGAAAAACCCAATTTGTGAGGCCCAAGACTAGGATTGGCAAAATTGAGTTCTTAAGGGAAATTAGAATTCATTTTGTGTTAACCGTGAAAGTTTGGTGGCCAGAGCTCTGAAGAAAAGGTTGGAGGCAGAAGATCCCAAAGTTAATCGTGAAAGCTGCGAATCGACTAAGGTATGGGGAGTATCGATGTTCATGATTTTCTATGTATGCCTGTACGACTCTGAGATTATGGCTAGTGGTATGTAACACTGAATATTGATATGAGAAAGGGAAACCTTAGGCCTTCGTGGCCAAAACCTTGGATTGTTATATGTTTGACTTTGTAGGAATATGAATGTTCAAATGTGAGTAGCTCTGATGCAGTCAGAGTAATTGCAGGGAGATAGTGATTTAGGAAGTGCAAATGTTGTCGGGTTGGCTTAACAAACCATAGATTTTATGTCGTTATCGCCGTATGACCTTAGGGATGTTTTGGGGGTATGAGATGTGTGAATCATATGAGTTTTTGGGTAGAAACCAGTTCTGTGTGTAGCAGATGTTTGCTTTTATCGCACTGTTCGCTTAGCGAGCATGCCAGCGAAGACTCGCCTAGCGAGCATGCCAGCGAAGACTCGCCACTGACTCGCCTAGCGAGCAAGCCAACGAACGTAGCAGAGTTCGCGGAATTTGATCGTTTTGCTGCGATGTCTTGACGTTTGATTCTGAGATTTCTGAGATGAGTTACTGCAAGAAAAAAGGAGATTTATGACACTTGAGTTGCGACAGTTATCACAAAACCGTCCTTATTCCTGGATTGCGACGGTTGTCACGACAGTTAGAGTCAACTGTCGTAGATTTTTTGCGACAGTTATCAAAAACCGTCCTTATTCCTGGACTACGACAATTTTCACGACGGTTTGAGCCAATCGTCGCAAATTATTTAGGCATGTTGTATAAAATAATGCGACCGTTACCAAAGAACCGCCCTCTTTCCGCACTCGCGACAGTTAAGACGAACTGTCGCAATTAATTTAGACAATCATAATCACTATTTTTTTTATTCCTTTAATTTTCCACTTTTTTCTTCATTTTTATTTTCTAACCTTTTCAATTTTATTAATTAATTTAATAAATAATTATTATAATTTTCATGACATTGTAGATTAATAGTAATAAATTAAACTTAAAATACATAAAAATTAACATACTATATATACTTAAAATAAAAATTTTATTTTAAAAATAATTTTTATAGTAAAAATTAAATTCAAAATATTATATCCAAAATTAAATTATTAAAATTAAACTATATATCGAAATGTTATAAACTCCAAATTTTAAAAACAATTTTTATAGTAAAAATTAAACATAAAATTAGACTATATATATTCATAATAATATAAAATATCAAATAAACAAAACATTTCAATCATAAAGAGAAATATAAAAACTTAATTAAAATAAAACTGTACTATGTCGATTGTGATATCCATCAGTTTCTTCTAAAATTTCGTCTTTTTTCCGCTAAAATTGAAAACTGATTTTCCTTTTTATGTGTATTTTTCTCTTCTTTTTCAGAAATCTCCGTTCATGCTCTTGGAGAGGGACACAAACTTTTTTCTCAGCCACTCACGCCGTCATTGCGAATCACCGTCAAAGCAATCACCATCAATTCGAATCTTAACAGGTTTGTCTTCTCAAACCCTAAATTACTTTTCAAACCTTGAATCAGATCTTGGTTTGAAACCTTGTATGTTATTAATTCAATGGTTTTGTCCTGAGTTCGTATCAGACTCGGTTTTGTTTCCGGTGATCGTGTCTGGTTGCGGCAGTTACTTTCTCTATTGTGCTTGTTGTTTGATTTGGAGTCTTTTGCTTGTTTAGGAGTTTAAACTTGTAGCTTGATTTTTGATACATTTTTATAATTCAGAACATGCTTCATACTAGTAATTTAAATCGAAATATCGGGTTGTGTGATTTTAGACTAGATCTTCTATAGAATATTTTGAGAAAGATATAATTGTTCATATTAGCCAAATTAGTGCAGAGATAGAAAAATGGTAGAGTGACAATCATTGATTTCAACTACATCACAGTGTTGTAATTCACAAGCCAAAATAGTCTTTACAAATTCATACAACTTCCTTAATTCATTTCATCATTTAATCTATGTTGCTCTTTTGAGAATCATATGCGAGAGCAACCAATTTCTTCTGATTGCGACGAAAATGATATCTCAAGAAACAACTCTCGTAGTAGTAATAGAATCTTAATATCTCGAGAAAAAGAACCTCGATTGATTTATGAGACCTCTTTGGCGGAAGAAATAACGACTTTCTTGGTCTGATGTGAAGCCACTGCATACGGCGGTGTTCGGCGATTTGTCTGACTGGGAAATTCGCCGATGAAGGCGATCTGTTCATGACTGGCGGAGAGCCCACGCCAAGAGTGGTGTTCGGCGATGTCCCTACCTTTACGGAAGCTACCGCAGAATTGAAGGAAACTATTGATCAAATTTACCTTTCATCTGGTAATTCTCAATGTGAGGGTTCATCTCCTGGTAGTCAACTCTCTGTTGTGTCTCCTCCTGCTAAGGAAACAGGGACAAAGTCTTATCTTGTTGAGGCTATTTCAAGTCCTTCAGTGCCTAAGCATGCCATTCATGCTTTTCAATTGCTCAACACAAATCCTGAGGCCCAAATTGTGGTGCAATCTATTGCTTGTGACCCTAATATATGGAATGCTCTCATGAAAAACCCTATTGTCACTAGTTTCTTTGAATCACAGCTAGCGGCGGTAGAGTCATCAAATGATGTTGCTGTTGCTGGTTCTGAAACTGTAGAAACTTCTAAAAAAGAGGAGGGAAATGCTTTTGATTTTATGACTGTTTTGCAGAATTTGAAGCTTACAGTTACTGAAATAGTTAGCAGAATGTCCAATTTCTTTCAGAACATATTCCTAACAGCTGAGAAAGACAAATCTTCAACTGATGGTGGTGGAGCCAATTTCATGGATTATAAAAATTTGATGGGAGGAAGTTTCATGGGATTGGCAGTTATGGTAATAATGGTTGTACTGATGAAGAGAGTCTAAACATTCTTCACTAGACAATTATTATCTATCGAATTTTCTTGTCAGTTTTAAATGCTTGTATATGTGAAATACATTTGGAGCAGCAGGTTCGCAGCGCATCTCTAGTCTCTCTGCAAGTATGACAAAGATCTAAACACTAAGCCAAATGGACAATGAGGACTCCAATTACAAAAATTTTGTTAACCTGTGTGATTCAAAAATTTCAAGAATAAATAAATTGGAATAATTATCAAAAATAAAAATAGGAAAACAACAAACCTCCTCAACAAGTTTACATGGATAATCCTCAATCTATTGAATCGAACAAAGCTGACTTATTGAGCGTGACATGGACGAAGGTTCCAAAGAGTAATCAACTTGGTGTTCAGAACAAAGATGGTTCGTTCCACAAATTCACTGGATTTCGTGATCAGGACGTTGTAAGTTTGATAAGTTTACATGGTTGGTGATGTTTACATGAACTGACTAATGTAATGAAATTGATATTTCCTCGCGATGTATTGCATTTTTTCCTGATGGATCTATCATCCTTACTTGTTATATGTGAGAAAATTTGTTTTGGAGTAAAAATATTTGACTTTGTGTTCTATACAACATAGATGCATCACAAGAATAGGTACATAGATATTTTCTGCAAGTGATACCAACACATATCACTCCCCCAAGAACTTCAGTTAATACCATTTGTTCTGTATTTGGAGATGCACTAGCTTTCCTTGTACTCTTAGAATATTTTTTTCTTGGGGGTTAGGGTAGGTGGTGTTGGGTTGGCTTCTCAAATAGGAACTGCGCCAATTTATTGCTTTCTTGTTTTGCCAACCAAATGTATTCTTTATCTTCATAGCAAAGCTGGTTTGATGGAGTTGTACTACTAATGGATGTTCTTATGCTTCTGTTTCCATTTCAAGTAATATGCTGGCTTTCATGGTTGGTTCAAAGCAAGCTTTTGAGGTGCCTTTAGCAGATGTCTCTCAAACAAACCTTCAAGGGAAAAATGATGTGATCTTGGAGTTTCATATGAATGACACAACTGAAGCCAATGAGGTATATAAATATATAGTCTTCTGAGTTTTAACAAATATAATTCATAACAACTGCTTATAAAAAACCTTTATCCATATTGAACTTGACTGTATTGTGGGATGGGGTTAACCGGTTCAATTTGGGTGTGCATTTTTTTATAGTCTAATATTATTCATATGATCTCAGAAAGATTTATTGATGGAGATAAGTTTCCATATACCAAATTCAAACACCCAGTTCGTTGGTGATGAAAATCGCCCCCCTGCTCAGGTGAGTTTGTTCACGAGGTTAACAAATTTCATGTTATAATAAATAAATTGGTTAAATGTGTCTTTAATACTGACTTCTCATGTCAACCTGCTGTATGTATCTACAGTCTAATCAGCCGCATACCTTCGTCGTTATTAGTCTTGACCCCCTATTCGAAAAGGACAAACTTTGTACCCTCATATTGTGATGCAGGTAATTTAATTGCTCATTGGTCTATGGTTTACCAATCTAGGTGATAAATATTTTGTGTTCTTCTGAAGCTAACATTGATTTGCTCGTTTATGTATAGTTTGAAACTGATGATGTGGTTCAAATTGAATTAGCATTAAGTGAAGATCTCTATAACGCTAAGTATAAAGACAAGTTGGAGCTGTCTTATAAGGTATAGCCTAAACTGGTGATTTGTTGATATACAATCCCGGGGTACTGATCCTCAAGACCTGCTGGGGAAAACATGAAACATTATATTTTTAGTTGATTGACTGATGTGAAAATTTGGTAACTACAGGTCACATGCGATACGATGCAATACTTGATACATTTCATTTATAATCCAATAATCACGGGCTCATCCATGAAGTGTTCACCACAATATTACGTGGCTTGTCTAGGGCCAAAGTTACCAAGCCTGGAAAATTTAGGAGTTGTCAAGATGGTTATGCTGTTAAATCATCTTTGAAAGCTGAAGATGGAATTCTGTATCCCCTTGAGAAGAGCTTCTTCTTTCTACCTAAACCTCCCACTCTTATTACTCATGAAGAGGTGAGGTTGAGATTTGTTTATTGATGACCAGTTATTAAATACTGGTGGACCTGCATATGATATCACCAATTAGAGGTTTTCATTGTTTCATTGTTTCTGACTAGATTGACCATGTGGAATTTGAGCGACTGCTGTCGGTGGTTCAAATATGCATTATTTTGACCTTCTTATCAGACTAAAATCTGAGCAAGAGCATCTCTTCCGTAATATTCAGAGAAATGAGTACCACAACTTGTATGGTTTTATCAAGTAAACTTACCTCGCTGCCAAATTTTACTCGACAACTGTTTGTTTGTCATATAGCAATTCATTTCTTACCTGATCATGCAGTTTAAAGGGCTTGAAAATTATGAATTTAGGAGATGCCCTACCAGCCGCAGGTGTGGCTAAGGCTTTTGAGAGCGATGATGATGATGCTGTTGATCCACATCTTGAGCGCATCAGAAATAAAGCTGGTGAAAATGAAAGTGACAAGGAGGTGCCTAACCTATATTTGATTCATTTTTTATCCTCATATTTTGTTCATGAAAAGCATTTATTAAATTTGTGTTCTATTTTAAGCACACAAGGACAATATTAATTTGTATCCAACATTGGAAAATATTTGTGCATAGAAAAAATATAAAATATGTTGGAAGTATGCTTACTTCTTCCAGGCATTCTTGAGCTTGAATTTTTGTTGTTATGTAGCCAGACTTTCTGTTGTTTATTATCTATCCTTTTCACTTTCTTGTGTTTTCTGTATTGCATATTATTATGGTTGTGCATTTTTTCCGGACTTATGTGCACATGATTATCTCTTATGGCGGGGTTCCCTTACCCTGCACCATGTTTTTCTGTAATCTTGTTTGCTTTTGTATATACTAATCATTGGGAAATGTCTACAGGATGAAGATTTTGTTGCTGAAAAAGACGATGAAGGGTCTCCTACGGATGATTTTGATGCTAGCCAAAGTGATGATGAGAAAGAGGCAAGTCATTTGTTTTATTTGCCTTTATCTTGTGATGCCTCACTTTTACTCTTTAAATCTTTTGTATTCCTGATAACTTAATAATGATCTATTTTCAGAAGCCTCCCAAAAAGGAGCCTAAGAAGGATATGCCTTCTAGCTCTAAAGCATTTACTTCTAAGAGGAAATCAAGAGATGTCGATGAAGATGGAAAGAAGAGAAAACCAAAGAAGAAAAAGATCCAAATGCATCCAAGAGGGCGTTGTCTGGGTTCATGTTCTATTCCAGTGACACTGAAGGTTCTGGAGTTTGAACTTTACCATTTCTGTCCAATCCAAGTAAGAGTTCACCATCAACATATACAATATTATTTTTTGGATTCTTTTCTGCCTTTGATTTTGTTAAACTGACTGATGTAATGTTTCATTTGACAGGAAATTGTGTGCGGTATATCATCTGCAGCTGTAGGCCTAATGGATATGTTCAACACTGGAGGAGCTGTAGATGAGGTCGAAATTCATAGAGAGACTGACCACAAACAAGAACTATTTGACAGAGAGGTTGTATCATCAGAACTGATAACTTCTCTAGGTCCTAACCGGACGACCACAACGACTATTAGTTTAAAAGTTAGAGGAAGTGGAAAGTTTAAAGTTTACTCCTTGCAGCGTCCAATAAAGTGCATGGTGGATGGGACTTCAACTATGACTCAGAAACTGGATTGACAACCTTCTTCATCCTAGTAGTTTTTCAAATGCTGCAATTTATGTCCATATTTTGCGTCATTTTAGATTTATTAGTGCCTATAGTATATGCGTTTAGGCGAGCCTCTTGTCCACTTGTTGTAAAGTAACTTTTGGATGGACCTGGTGCTGTCAAGTTAGATGTCTTATAAAAAAATATAGATAATGTTAATTTGTACACAAAGTTACATAATTTATTTTTTTTATTTTTTATTTTATTTTTTTAATAATGCTAAAAAATTGAGGGTAAAATTTTTTATAATAAATATTCACACGGTTCAATATGCCATGATTTACTGTCATAATCTATAATAATAGTAAAAATGAAAATCCATGGGAAAATGTCACGTAAATTGTGGCGGTTCAAACCGTCGTAACCTGCCAAAATGAAAACAAAAATCAAAAGGCTACTAACGACGGTCTTTAATCGTCGCCATCTCCAATTTAGGTCAGTTCCAGCCCATCGTGAAATATAACGACGGTTGGTGTGGCGGTTTTGGCAACCGTCGCTAAACAGCCTGGGGACACACGTTTTTGCAACGTAAAATGTAATTGATGGTGGTTTTAATCGTCGTAACCTGCCAAAATAACCGTCGCAATCCATTGTTTTTTTTGTAGTATGAAACGAGGTTCAAGTACAAGGAGAAACTCATGTCAAAGTATCAAGCACACGACATGCATCAAGATTATACTGATCAACAAGACAAGGATTAATCACAACCAAAGCATAAAGAATTAATCAAGGCCTAAAGAATTAATGAAGATAAGGAATCAAGGATTTCATGGCATCAAGAATTTCAAGATAAGGCATCACGAATTTCATGTTTATCATCAAAACTTTTATCAAAAATTAATCCAAGACAAGTCATCATTAAAACTAATCCACAAGCCATGAAAATTAATTCAAAAAAAGTCATGAAAAAATATTCAAGAAAAACTATGAAAAATAAGAGCAAACATAAAAAATCATCCAAGAATCATCATGAAAAAACTTAAACAAACAAACATGGATTAATCAAGCAGGGAGGTTCAGCAGTATAAATTAATGGGTGCAAACAACAATGTTGGGCTTTATGGTGGATGCTCATAGGCCCAAGCCTTATTGTGAACAAGAGGGGGCAAAAGCACTTTGGAGTGCTAATGGAAATGCAGGATCGTGAATGTCATGACCTAATGGAAATGTATATGAAAGCAAAGCAATAAGCCAATTAATGTTTGAAAAATAGAGGGCAAATTTTATGGTGCAACACCATGCCATGCATTCATTGTAGATATATTGAAAGAGATAAGTCATAGGTCCGAAGGGGGACGAAAGACTTATCCAAAACTCAGAAGGGGGAGTTCGGGATTCCGAAGGGGGAATCAGGTTCGTATGATGAGCCGTTGATGAGAATTGGTACCACATACATCGTGTAATATTGTCGTATCTCATTACATTGTAATTATGTTGTGCTTGTGCATTTGTTGTGGTGAGAATGTGAATGCGATTTGTGTGTATAAATACTACTCTCTTAATTATTATACACCGTTTATTATACGAATTAATTTCTCACCCCTTTTGTGTTTGTTGTGTCTGCACTCCTCCAAAGTATAGACAATTAGGCACTCGAGTAATTGGAGATGTACCTCTTATTGCTATCGATCGAGTCTACTAATGTAGTTGCTCTGATACGTAACACCGGGGAATCTGATGTTTTTTTATGTTATTTTGTTACATATCTTTTAGTTTAAAGTAATTATTTAACTACTTTTGGTGTGAGTGCTTTGTTGAGCCTATGAATGTCATACTTTTGTTTAATTTCACTGTTTGGACTATAATTTTTTATTAAATAAAATAACATTCAAACTTCTTGGATTTGAAAGTAACATTCTAATTAGATAGAATTATATTTTATTTATTAATTATTGAGTCAAGAAGTAGAGTGACACAATCTTACTCAAGTGAACCAGGTGTTGGACTATTTCTGTGTGTCTTAGAATGAACAGGTAAAATACGTCTTTGTCGGAGATGAGTCAAATTCATAATTTGTTTTATATATCTTAGATGTCATTATGCAATATAAATTTATTAGATACTATACGGTCTCTATATATATCTTACTTTATTTCCTTATTTTGTTTTTACCTGTTTGAAGAATCGAAATAGATCATATTTGTTAGTTTAAAAAGTATTTAATTTGTATTTTAAGATACAACTTCTTTTTATGTTTTTCAAAACAATTCTCTTAGAACATGTGTTGAGTACTTAAGTTGATTAGCAACCTTTGTGAGAATATTTGTGAAGTTAACAATTGGTCTACTATTTTTATTATAATGCATACTATGTATGCATTGACAAATCTGAGAGATGTTGTTTTTTCTGCGTGCTTTGAGACTTGCCCCTTTTCTTTCAACAACAAAAGAAATTAAAAATAATTTTGGAGGAAATATTTTGACCATTACAGTTACCTAATCAAACACATAACAAAATCTATAAACGAATTACAGTTACCTAATCAAACACAATGCAACTAACCATTAAGAAAAGCAATATCATATAAAGAGACAACCAACAACACAATATATAATGGACACACCACGTTCA